ATCCAGCGTTAGCGGCTATGGGACGCCACCCACCCGGCCACAGAAGCTGGGGGAGCGGCCAGGCGTGTGGGCGGGAACCGCCCTCAGAGGGCAAGCGACATATATGGGGGGGGGCAAGGCTCAAGTCAGAAAAAAGGGGGTAGCCAAACGCCAACGAAGGAGGGGGGTGCCGGGGACAAGCACACCGAGCGATTGCGCGGCAGGCACAACAGGCACGAGCAGGCACATGTGCACAGGCACTGCAACATACCGCCTGCGGGTCCCCTATGGCGTAATTCCAGAAATTCGCGCGTGTGTGTGTGTGTTTTACAGGGATTTGGCTCATTAATGTGCTGGGGCCGAACCCGCTAACCCTGCCGGCTGTCCAGAGCGAGGAAAATCTGGCCGCCGATGGCATCCCAGGGAGGCTCCGTCTTGCAAGCGCCATGCCGGTCTGCCGGGCAGCCGTCCGCCGCCCAGATGCCGCCACGAAGGTGCCGTGAGGCAAAGTCCCAGCTAGTGTCCCGGCTGGGGTTCGAACTCGTGCCTGTGGTATCACCCACCGGCACTCATCCAGCTCCTTATTTAACGTCGCGGCCAACGACGAAAACGGCGCGCCTGTGATCTGTGATGTTACAGAGGCAATGCCCATTAATGGGCTGGGGGCACACAAGCCGTGCCCACTAGCTCTGGACTGTATGAAAGCATGCAATACCGCCCGGGCGGCAAAGGGCGGGCTCAGGGAGCGGTCGGGCGCAAAGGGCGGGGAGGGAGGCGAGGGGCGCCTGATGGCCAGCCCAAGGGCGGCAAGCATACCAGTGGGGGGGAGGGGCAGGTCGAGGACCCGCACACCACCACCACCAGAAAGCGGGCCCACCCACCCCGGCACAGTAGCTGGGAGAGCGGCCAGGCGGGCGGGCGGGGGCCGCAAAGGCGAAGGCGGCACGCGGGAAGACCGGGCAAGGGGAGGACGGGGCAAGCGCAAAAGCGCAAGCATCTGCGGGTTACGGGGGGGAGAGTAGGGGCGTGACGACCAGAACGGCAGGCACGGAGTGAGCGAAAAGAGGGGGGGGGCGGCGGGCCGCCCGGCACGCGGCGGCA